TGGGCCATAGGGCTACACCCTGAACCCCAAGAGAGACCTCATGGAGATCAGGAAGCAGGACTGGAAGGGATGCCAGCACCTTCAGGCTGCACAGCTGGGCTTGGTCTGCCTCCCTCCAGGCCGGAGAGCGCAGACGCACACCTCCCCTCCTTGCCGCGGACCTGACTCTCATTCCCCACTCAGGGAAGGCAGAAAGAGTTGCCTCTGTGTCCTGGGCCTCCCTGCCGATTCAGGTTGAACCCTCAGGGCCTGGCTGGCTGGCAGTCAGCGTGCCCTTCTGCATGTCCACAGCGCCTCATGGCCAGAGCGCCTTCTACCTGTTTCTTTCTAGAGTGTGGCCAGTGAGCTCTGGCTGGGGTGAGGGGGCTTAGAGGGTGGCCCTGGGGGAGCATCACCCTGTGAGATTAGACTCTGAGAAAGGACACACCCTGAGAGGGCTGGACCCACCTCGCCAGCCAGGCACAGAGAGGCCCGTGAGGCCCCCAACTCCCATGGCTCGTGTAGGCAGAGCGGTCTCCACCCCAGGCTCCTGCCTGCACAGTGGAGACAACAGCAGCCGAGGGGGGGTTGAAGGGTAAATGGTGCGCGTTTAGATAGGGGTGTAAAGCCTGAGTCGTGGCCCTGGTGCCTCCCACAGAATGGGCAGCGCTTCCTGCTCACGGCTGGAGTGTGACCTGCAGTGCACCTGCTGGCTGACCGCATGCCTTTGTCTACAAGCGTCACCACTCCCCCAGAGCCCTGGCAGCCTCTGCTCCTCTCCTGTGCTCCCTCCAACCTGCAGGCATGGCAGCTGTGGTTTCTGGTTGGAGCTGCACTGAGGAGAGCTGCAGAAACGTGCCCAGTTCAGGGCTCTGCCAGTGTGGCGAGGAAGGTGCAGGGCCAGTGGGTACAGTGCAGACCATAGCAGTTTAGGTCAGTAAGTGTGCCCCCCGCTAGCTCCCATCATGACTCCTGTGACCCAGCTCCAGACGTGGGTGCTCAGGTTACCCTCAGGCGCCCCCATGTCCTTCCAAGTAAAGGCCGACCTCATAGCGACCTGATAGTACCAGGTATCTGCCTTCCTGGGTCCTATGTGTGCCCTCTT